AAAGGAGGTGACTGCCGACTAAATCGTGTCTCGCGCGGTCTATATTGCTTTTTTTTTTTTTTTTTTTTTTTGCGTAAACATAATTTTTTGACAGGCGTGTCCCTACAACGCTTTCTAAAAAAATATTTTTTTTCTGTCCAGGGGTTCTTCAAAAAAGGGGGGGAAGGGGGGGTTCAACGATTTTATGATTAAAAGAATTTCAATCTCGTCATTTTTACGTTGTTTACCGTGTCCCGGAGGATAGAGAAATCACCTCCTTCATTAAAAATGTCGCGATTCCGCTGCATAATCGCAAAGCCAAAGTCCAGCTTTTTCCCCCATCTGCAGCCGCAAGTGGCAGCCGAGGAACTACGGCGAGAAGCTTGCCCGACCTCGGTCGGCTCTAAGCTGCAGCCTAACGCCCCCTAATGTCAGCACAGAAACAGAAAGGAAGCGTCCTCCGAGAGAGCACACAGGAAGCTACACGGCACCCCAAATTACGTCACTAGGAGGGGAACCGGGTGTGGCCCAGAAGACTGGGAGTGAGTTGAGCGGTGCCAGAAATGACAATATTTATCCTTTTTTCTTTTTACACAACAAATAGGACACGCAGGCGAAAGCGGTTTCAGAGGGCAACTTCCACAAATGTTTGACCGAAGTCCGAAAATCCTTGCACGCCCCCCGCCCCGCCCCGCCCCGCCCCGCCCCGCCCCCCCCCCCCCCCCCCCCCCCCCCCTCCCCTTTAAGAAGGCCAGATTACGCGCGAAACATTCCGGGGCCTTGAAGGGGCATTTGAGATTAAGTATTCATTCCTGTCGTTTTATTGTTCAGAATGATCGATGCTCACGTTTTGTACTCGCTTGACGAAAGAAGGCTGGGGACATGACTGAACTTTGTGCCGTCATCTGGGGTTTTAAAATGTGTTGACCTCACTGGTGATGTGCCCTTTGCCTTGTAGCCTAGAAGCCGTTCATTCCGACGCTGACAGAGAGGTAGAAGCTACACTGTTAGCAAGTCCCGTGTACTGGGTGAATATTTGAGGTGAAAAACACGCTATTTACACAAATTACCATAAATTTACAAGTTGAGTAACGGATAATTCGTTCGAAAATCATGCGAGGTTGTAAAAAAACTTGTTTTCGTTCGGCCATACAATCATAACCGTGTAGCCGACCTCGAAAACACGGACCACCGCCGGCGACGACCGCAGCATTGCCGGCTATCGAAGCACCGGAATGCTTGGGGACACACCTAGAAAGGACCGTGGAGACAAATTCCGCGGAAAGGAACATGTCCCTGACACAGATATGTACCAAGAGCGATTACGCCATGTCGCGAGACGGGGCGAACCCCGCGCTTACCGTGCATGCTGCCATTGTTTGTGGTCGACGATGGCAATGCGGCTTCCCTTATGTCGCCCTTCTTTGTATTTATATTAGGGGTCTTGATAATTGTTTCTTACACACCACAAATAAAGTTAGGGGTCTAACTACTCGTTCTAAACAGTTACAATGGATATAAAGAGCGTGCCCTCGACCTGAACACGTGACACTGCAATTGCAAGCGAAGGTGCCGCCGCTTCCCATGCGTCCTCCTCAGAATTTACGGCACTCCGTGGTGGCCAGTGGTGCTGCATCTGTAGGTCATCTTTAAGTTAGCGCTGACAGAGAAAATTTGGCCACGGCGTAACGCCGATGTAAGCTGGAAGCTAGAACCGGTTTGCTTTCGTTGTTTTTCTTTGGTCGGAGAAAATCTGGCAACAACGCCAACAACGCACGTTTAACTTGCCGCCGGTATTCTTTAGGATGGACAAGAAGGGTGGAAGCTGCTCGGTTTGCGAGCACATGTAGCGAAGACGTGACCGGAAACGTGCCCCCGTGATGTACCCGGATGACGGAAAGCATCATTCGTAATCGTCGTGTGTGCTTTGAAAGCGAAGGGAGTTACAGGGTCCACGAGTGCGCAACCACAAGCCAAGGTTCACGACAGCGCTGCGTTGACTTCGGCGATCTCGTTCTGTTTGGTGCAACGCCGCGATGCGACAAAGAGCTGAAGTATTCGTGGTGTGTGGTGCGGTGCTTGGAGGTAGAAAGCCACACTAACACGGAGCGCAAATTGGTTGTTGTGGAGTTGAGGGACTGAACCCGCATACGGGTTCAGTCCCGTCGTCATCAGCTGATCCGGTCCAGCTGGTCCGGGAGGACGCAGCGAGCGTTTTTAAAAGTATATCTTCCTTCGTTCCGTTTCAAAATGTGGAAGTATCCCGACACATACCGTGAGTAAAAAGCTGCGGGCGTTTTCAACAAAATTACGTCGTTTAAATTGAACACTTGACTCCAGAATGCTGTCCTAGATCTGCCGTTTTTATGGTTCGTGTTGGACTACGTTTGCACAGCGACGCACACAGCTCGAGTAGATGATTCGGTCCTTCAAACGACCGGTTAACAGAATTTTAGGGAAACTTAAGTCACCACTGATATTTTCCTTTAAATCTCGTGTGATTGTCTGGCGCTCATCATGCGGTGTGAATAAATTGGGGGCAAGATTTCCTACCTGCCCACAGATGCATGAACTAAGACCATTTTTTACGTGGTTAGCATAGTGCTTTTTCTTTACTTTGGAAAAAGGCGTTGGTGCATTTATTATGGTACAATCACTTGAGAGTTGAGAAATTGGAGAGAGCGAGCAATCTTTCCCAACTTTGTCTGTTTTCTCTGGCACAGCCCTGTTTCAGTTTCAGTAGGCATATCTACAAGCAGGTACAAACTCCTCTAAAGCAGCTAAAAAAACAGGGGAAGCTTAGGACGGTGCGGACTCCGTGTTTCGCGCTTTTCGTAAGGTGACGGGGTAAATGCTTTTGCGAGGTACGCGAAATATGCAAGCGATTTTGTTATGCCCGTCGTTTGCGTCTCTATAGCAAAACGAATAAGATTACTACAAAGGCGCAATCACAAGCCAAGATTTACGATAGCAGTGCGTTTGCTTCTTTGGTCCGTGTAGTTGTATACTTTACCCTGCTATCTGCAACACCGTGTCATGACGAAGAGCTCGAACGGTCACGATTTGTGCTGGCCTCCCGGTTGACAGAAACCCGCATCGCCCGCGTCGCGGCACGAGTGCGGTTGGGCTGTTGATGCTCACAAGACACGGATGCTTTAATCCGTGGCTTGTTGCCAGCTGATCCTGCTGCTCAACGGTGAGGAAGCGGCGAGAGTGACCTCTGAAGTGAATGTAGATCCTCGTTCATTCAGTTATCCGGTGTCAAAGTGTGGGAGATGTCCAACGTGTACTGAGGGCGGGAACTACGAGCGTTTTGCTTTGCTTTTGTAACCGAAACCAGACCAACGAGATAACTGCTTTGCGTACTCTAAAATGACGGAAGCAAAGAGTTTCAACAGGTCGAGTACGTCACCGGGGATGTAGGCGAGACGGTGCACACTGTTTAAACGCTTGCAGTATCCACGAGTGGTACCTGGAAAGCGACATCAACAGAGAAGGAACTCGCGATTCAGCATAATGCAGAGCTACGGGCCCGTGTATCTTCAAAGTTTGGGGTGGTGGCAGTATGAAAAAGAGACGCAATAGCGCCCCACGCCAGTCATCACGAATAACACCGGCCACGAACTCCCGAGCCCCACCGCTCCAATCAACACCGACAAGACAGACGACAACAAACTGCATCAACACGACCCAAAAGTGAAGTCTGCTCCCGTACTGAAACTAGCGGAAGTGAAGTGTTGAGCACATGTCCTTCACAAGAATATATACAAAATGGTTTGCGCAAGGATCATTTCCATTTATTATTAATTATATAATGATAAAATAGCAATAATTTTTTAAAAATATGATGCAAGCTAGTCGGACTGCTCATAACACTGGTCTAGCTTGCAAAGCCGAGGACACTCTCAGGGCTGACGCCGTCGGACGTGCCTCCTAACAAATCTCTCGACATTAGCAGCAGGATCGCCTGGGGTAGGTCAGATTTTAACGCCGGGTAGTCCTCTCGCTTCGACACGTATACCCACACACGCCGCACGGCTGGAGAGACGGACTGGTACAATTTGCGAGGGGGTCCTCCGCCTCCTGCGTAAAGACCGCCCGACAGCAGGCGCGGCCCCGCCCCGACAGCTCCCGGATGACTTGACGACGGGGTTCACGCGTGGAAGAAACACCGAAGTCAACCACCCTGGCTCCAGCCGGTGGCCCAAGCAGGAAAGCGGGAACAGCAGTTAGGCCTAGCGCGCCCGCTTCCCGCGCCACGCGTCAAGCACGTGCCGGGGACGGAGGCGTTCGAGTTCCCCGCTGTAGTTTAGGTCGGCTCAAACCGCGCCGTTGTCTCAAGGCCTTCATGGGACAGTTGTCTACTCGCCGATCTGCCCTTAGCGGCAACCGCAGGCCGCAGCCGTCGTCCAACCAAGGTGTTTTCGATGCGAGCTGTGGCGCCTGCCTCGATGGAGTAACGTTTAGCCGGGAGTTCTCCCGCAAGACGGGCAGCAAATTGCCTCATCCGAAGGAACACCGGCCAACCTCGCGACGCGCCGACGTTGACGCACATCCTGAGCGCCGAACCCGAGGTGCGGCATCGCCGTCGACTCCCCGAACACGGGTCCAGAGCACCGAACGCGGCGACGACCGTCCAAAAGAGGCGCGCCACGCACGATCAATGGCCGCCGCTCGCGAACGGTCCTCCGCGGACCCGGTCTTCCCGGCCCTCCAAGAGCCGGGACCACCTCGTAGATGTCTCCGTACGTGCCGCGCGACCCCGACTCGACCTCAGGCACCGCCGTCCGAGCGACCGCCGAGCGCCGAAGCGAGCCATCGCGAAAAAGGAGCAGCCGCCGCCGACGCGAGCGAGTAAGCGCCGCGCCGTCCCCGCCGCCATTTTGGAACGACGCGCCGCCGCCACAAACAAGCTCGCCGACTGGACCTCCAGAAATCGCTCGTAACTCCGCGCCGTCGCGTCGCAGCGACGTGCCGTTTGTGGCAGCATCCGCGCCACGAGTCCGGGCACCTGCACTCACCGTTGGAAGAGGCGACGGAGCTCCGGAAGCGGTTCAAAACGGTGGTCATATGTGAAGCCAGATGACGGCGAGTCGCTCCACGCGGCGCCTTCGCGGTGCGGGAGCCGAGCTGTCGGGGAGGAAGCCGCCGCACTGCCGCCGTCTGCTCTGGGTAGCAGCAGGGAGCAGCAGGGAGAGCCTCCGGAGCGGGCGGCGGAGGGGGGCACAGTGCGTCTCTCTGATTGGTTGGGAAAGGTCACGTGCCACCTGCCCAGATTGCGTTTGTTGCGCCCTTTAGCCAATGGGAGCGCGGCAGGCCTGGCTGTCCTCGCTGAGCGGATGCTAATGGCGACGCCGCGCTGCTCCGCTAGAGAGAGATCGAGGTCGCCTGCGGGAGACCTCGCTTAGTTATTTATTTATATATTCGCGACCGGAACGAGGACGCGGCTGAGCTAATTAGCTCCGCGCCGCCGCCGCCGAACGCGCAATTACGCCGTCTCCGGTCGGAGGGGTGCGCGTGAGCGCGACGCCGCATTGTCGGGCGGCCGGCGACCCAGTCGCCGGTGGCAGATTGAGCGGGCCTTTTGTTCCTTCGCTCTTTGGTAGCGCTCACGAGCGATGGCCCTCGAAGCCTTTTTAACCTACCGTTCCTAGCTTGGCTAGAGAATGTCATACCCTATCTACGAGGGCACCCTATTTACAATGGCGCGGCAGGTAATTCTGACTGAGATCAGAATTAACTGTGGCTAGGCTGCCTGACGGGCATCCTAAACATCAATTACGCTAAAGGGTATGGTTAGCAGTTGCTGCCAACTGTAGCTTCTGCAGGAAACCCTGGATCGTACTTACGTCTGATCTTAGTCACACTCAAGTGCGAATAACGGTCACCAGTGTATTGGTGTACAAGAGAAACCCCAGCCACGGTGCCCAGACCGAGTCGAACTCGAATTGGTGTCTTTAGCCTCCTATGTTTCTAAACGTCAAAAGCGTTCTTGAACTGGAAACAAATGGCGTATTTGTACATGGTGGTCGACACGCGGCATGGGAACGCCGCTCACTAGACGTGATTAAAATAGCGCAAATTTGACAAGGACCAAAAGAAGGCACACGTAGAACAGGACTGGCGCTCACGCCGGATCGACAAAAAGGACAACGCCCTGTGGTAAGGCAATAGCAACGCGCGGTTCCTGCTGCAGTCGTTGCGCGTGTTTTACTGGGCGCGTTCTAACCTACTCCCCCCCCCCCCCCCCTTTCTTTCACGCGGCTTCGCATATATGCTTCGCGTGTATCACTGACGCGCGTTCTAACATACCGTCATTCACGCGGCTTCGCGGATATGCTTCGCGTGTATCACTGAGGCGCGTTCTAAAATACCGTCATTCACGCGGCTTCGTGGCTATGTTTCGCATGTATCACTGAGGCGCGTTCTAACATACCATCATTCAGGCGGCTTCGTGGCTATGTTTCGCGTGTATCACTGGGGCGCGTTCTAACATACCATCATTCAGGCGGCTTCGTGGCTATGTTTCGCATGTATCACTGAGGCGCGTTCTAACATACCATCATTCAGGCGGCTTCGTGGCTATGTTTCGCATGTATCACTGAGGCGCGTTCTAACATACCATCATTCAGGCGGCTTCGTGGCTATGTTTCGCGTGTATCACTGGGGCGCATTTCAACCGACTCCCTATTCACGCGGCTTCGCGGCTATGCTGCGCGTGTATTACTGGGGCCGGTTTTAACCAACCCCCCTTTATCACGCGGCTTCGCTGCTATGTTGCGCGTGTATCACTGGGGCGCATTTTAACCTATACACTCTAAGAAAAAAGATGGTCTCAAAGGACTAACGGCAGCATTTGGTCCGCTGAACTCCCATCTGCTCCCCGAAGAGAATATCTGGTTCGAGCTAGGTACCGTGCGCAAATGCTGGGGACTATCTGTACTCGACCAGGACTAACCGAAAGGCGCGCGGGTACAAAAGCAGCCCCGGGTGCAAAAGCGCAGGAGCAAAAGCAGCGAAAGGCGCGGGGGAGCAAGAGCGCGGGAGCAAAAGACGCGCGGACAAGATGGCGGCGTCTGCTTCCTCGCCGATGGCCTGCGTTAGCGACGCACTTACTGTTTCGGAACGCGGGAGGAGGTATCCACAGACAACCGTAGCATCAAAAATTGCAAGAGGGGGCATGTTTAATGGCGAATTCGGGTGGTCAGTTGCCGGCGAGAACGAGCCGGCGGAACCGGCAACCAGAAACGCGCCGCCGGCACACCACGTGACCCTCACCACCCGAACACGAAACGCCAGACGGTGGCAGTTTACTTCGCCTCTTGCCCGCGCGACGCCGCTAGCGAGAGCCTGTCGCCGCCGTCACTCATGTCCCAAGGACTTGGATTGACTTTCGTAGCGGCTGCTAAAGTTACTTCAGATCAGTTTCGTTCTTTCGTTCATTTTTTTTTCTCACTGACCTTCTCTCTCATTTCGGAAGTGACGACACCGGATACAGTCTGACGCCCACTCGCCCGGCCGTTCGGAGCTCGGGCGGAAAAAGCGCCGGAAAGTTGCCGGTGCATGCCGGAGAACCACCACCCGAACGGTGCGCGCCGGCCGGAAACTGACCACGCGAACACTATGGCCGGTTTCCCGGCAAAATAAGTTGCCGACGATTGACCACGCGAATTCGCCATAAGGGTTGAAGCTGACTTTATGACGATCGCAGCCTCCAGCACGTCGTGGAAGCCGCCGGTGACTCAAGTGCAGCCATTGTTGATGCACTGGCCACGCGGCTTTTGAGCATTGTCCTGGCGTCCTTCCCTTCTGCATACTTTTGAACGTGCTTTGAATGCGTTTATATTTTCTTTTTGGTTTAACTGGAACGTAGAAAAATGTTTTTATCACTTAGCCCGTGGTAAAAACGTTTCCAAAGACAAAAGAGATAAATTCTGGTTTCTTTTCATTTTGTATTCTTTACCATCTTTTTTTTTTTCGCAATAGACGATGGGGTTGCCACAGAGACGCGCATGCGCACAGTGTGGAAGCTATGCGGGGAAGCGAGAACATGGCTCCTGGGAGCCTATAGGGACGCTGTTTTATAGACTGTCACAAATAATTACTGTGTGTGCCGTTACTTCTTAGTAAGAGATTCACTCCTTGGAAAGTTTAGCAACAATATTGGAGAACAATATTGGCGCGGAAGCAGCACCATATTTCTAACGTCGTTCACGGTTGAGATGGTCACTGACAAAACGACTCCTCTAATATGATCAGCATAAAAGGCGCATGGGTAGGCTTTGGGGCGACGATTAAAATAGCGTGTCGTCGCGTGTGTGTTGTGCGTGTGTTGTATGCGTAATCTGTGTTCTAATTACGTGTCTATGTTAAAATGTGTATAACGTGTGCAAATGTGAAATAAGCGTTGTTCGTATGTGAATGTAATGAGCGCGGAAAAGATCTACCCCAGCGATACTGTATTTTTTTTTCCAACTTTGAATTTGAAGTTGACTAGCGCCACCTGGGTGTGTAAGCGCGCAATTTGGTAATAAATAATGTAAGGGCGTAACATTTAGTCTTAGGGGCCTAAATGCAAGGGTGCCAAAGTTACTCCTGGGGGTTCAACCTTGAGGGACTAACGGTAGGGGAGCAAAGGTTGCTCCCGTCACCGTTGCTCCCCTAGGGGACCAATGGTTGTGTCAGAGCATTTGCTCCCTTGGGGGAGCAAGTCACGCTCCCTTTTTTCTTAGAGTGATACCCCCTACTCACGCGGCTTCGCGGCTATGTTGCGCGTACGTCACTGGGGCGCATTTTAACCTACCCCCACGCGCAATGTTGCGCGTGTATCACTGGGGCGCATTTTAACCTACCCTCTATTCACGCAGCTTCGCGGCTATGTTGCGCGTGTATCACTGGGGCGCGTTTTAACCTACCCCCCTTTATCACGCGGCTTCGCGGCTATGTTTCGCGTGTATCACTGGGGCGCATTTCAACCGACTCCCTATTCACGCGGCTTTGCGGCTATGTTGCGCGTGTATCACTGGGGCGCATTTCAACCGACTCCCTATTCACGCGGCTTTGCGGATATGTTGCGCGTGTATCACTGGGGCAGAAGTCTATCTTCTGTTACGCAAGTGAGTGGCAGAGCGTCCCCTTCTTTTTAGAGGCACCGCTGAAACAGCTGACGGCGGCGGAGAGGCGGTCGCCGTGCTGCCGACCCGCTGCGCCTGTGGCAGTGGTTGGAGGAGTGTACGCGCGGCGCAGAGCGGTCGTTCCGGTCGCTCTGGTCACAACGGACGCAGTCGTGGATAACGGGTTCGTTGCACATGTCAGAACGAGCCTTTACACAGCTATTGTAGGCGCACAGCACATCTCCGTGACTGCTCGCCTTTTCCGAAACCTCCGGCTGCTCCGGTGAGGAGTCTGAGGACCTCGCGGCGGGCAGGAAACCATCCGCCATGTTTGAAAGCGTAGCTGGGTTGCTTACTATTGGCTAGGAACAAGAGCTGAAGCTCGTTTCTCATTGGCTGTTGCTTCGTATGGCTGCATGCGGTTGCATGTGTGTGTACACGTCGTGCACACTTGTCGTTGAAGTCGCAGCGGTTGCATTCGTTCGTAAGCATACTGGTCGCTCCGAACGCAAGTGTGTGAATGGGCCTTCACGCGGCAATGTTGCGCGTGTATCACTGGGGCGCTTTTAACCTACCCCCCTTTATCACACGGCTTCGCGGCTATGTCTCAGGTGTATCACTGGTGCGCATTTCAACCGACTCCCTATTCATGCGGCTTCGCGGCTATGTTGCGCGTATATCACTGGGCGCATTTTAACCTACCGTCATTCACGCGGCTTCGCGGCTATGTTGCACGCGTATCTCTGGGGAGCATTTTAACCTACCCCCTATTCACGCGGCTTAGCGGCTATGTTGCCCGTATATCACAGGGGCGCATTTTAACCTAACCCCCTTCCTTCACGCGGCAATGTTGCGCGTGTATCACTGGGGCGAATTTTAACCTACCGTCATTCACGCGGCTTCGCGGCTATGTTGCGCATGTATCACCGGGGCGCATTTTAACCTACCCCCTATTCACGCGGCTTCGCGGCTATGTTGCGCGTATATCACTGGGACGCATTTTAACCTATCCCCCTTCCTTCAAGCGGCAATGTTGCGCGTGT